ATTATTTAAATTTAAAAAGGAATCTCTAACTATTTAAAAATTAAATACAGATTGATATATAAAATTTAAATATGGTATATAATAATGGTATATAAAATATAAAAATTAAGTAGGTATCCCTAAGTCCTCCAGCGATCGTCGACCCGTTTTTGTAGCGACAGATTAAATCGCACACGGTTTTCATTAAAATTAAACCGAACGGGGAGAAGTTATTAGGTACGAGACGTTTAAAAATAATTTACTCCTTTCTTATCTCGGATCGGTTGTAAGATGCGATCGTACAAGTATGCAAATTTAAACCGCGGAGATATTGCGTAACGCTATCGCGGCGAGTTACCTTTTTTGAAACGAGACACGAAAATAAGACGGTCTCGACAAGTATTTGGGTTAAGAACACAAACGCTCGGTCGGTCGCTCCGCGGAGGAACGGGATCTGATATCGCGTGAAAAAACTAAGAGACTTCCTTGGTTTCCATTAAGCAGGAAGCAGTTACGTGTACTCTGTTACGCGGAGCGGAAGCATCGTGGGGTATCGCGGGTTCGGTGGCCGGTCGAGGCTTCTTCGACGCAGCTGATATTCCGTGAGGAAATAAAAAAAAGATCCCCAGGTTATGCCTTATATCAATCCTATATCGCACAGATCTCGCGACTCAACTTTTCCTGGCTCCCTCCTCCGACGTGTACATTTTTCATTTCAAATAGTTCCACGCGAGATTCATTAGAATTTATTATAGAACGTAAAGTTCATTATTAGAGAATTCATGAGAAGGCTTATTAGAAGTATTATCTCTTCACTTTTTCTTAATTAGCCCCGTTAATTTATACAATTCAAAGGGATAAAGCAGTGCGAACTCTGTTTTATATTTCCAAGTATTTAGTTACAGTCTGTAAAGAGCTAAATCGTGTCTGGTTTGAAAGCCTGTCGACAGTGAGACAAATTCTTTCGTCGTTGGTCAGCGCGAGATTTAATGCAGAGGTGTCACGTTCCACGCTACCGAAAAGATTCGTTCACATGCAGAGAGCAGTCGGTTTCATGAATGGACGTTCTCAGTTACTATTAAAAAAAAGACGGAACTTTAAACGGTCAGTAATGGATGAAAGAAGGTGGACACGGAATGTCAATGAAACCTGGGTCTGACCCGCATAACAAGAGGCAAGCGAATCTTCTTTGAATTCCTTCTCTTTTGATAACATTAAAAACAATAATGCGTAAAATAATTTTAAAATCTGATGGAATAATTTAAATTAGTGGGATATTTGCATTTGTTTTTTGCTTGAAAGTAATTGAATACATTAAAATATAAATAACATTCGAAACCGTATAACGAAGTCGCACATTCACTACCTCTGATTTAGAGGAATACAGGGTGTCCTAGAAGAGGTGTGGAAGCTGAAAAGGGGTGATCATATAGGTGTTTCTGAGACACTCTGTATAGCAAGCACTAGATAAAAAATTGTGCAATATTATTCGAAGAAATGTAATACAAAATGTATGGCAAATTATAAGCAAAAAGCTCAGACAAGAAGGGGTGGTTTCTACCCCAGAGACCCAAAAATTGTAAAATGACTACTTTATAGCAAAAATATGTACTCCTCTTTCTTTCTATTTCGTATGTACACTAAGAAAGCGGTTCTTCACGCGCCGAATGC